GTTAGTTCTTTGAAAAGAGGGCTAGTTCACAAAAGCCCTATTTCCTGTGGGGAATAAAAGGAGGCAAAGGCCGACTGAAAGATGGTGAAGAGGCTGGTGGTCAATGCAGGTGAAGGCAATTAACTATCCAAGAAAAACAGGCAGCCGAAAAATAGCTGGTTGACCAAAAACTGCTTCAACAAAAACAAAAACAAAAACAAAACAAAATGTCCATTGGTGAGGCCAGTTCACAGCTTTCACTGGGTCTTCTTTAGGCAGAAAGGGTTCTGTCCAAACAGAACCCAAATCTGGAACAATCCAAATTACATTTGATCCAGCCTGACATTTTAGGCGACAATCGCACTGCATTAAATAAAAACACGCTTCTTATTGGCCTTGAGGTAAGGAGACAAGCAGGGAAGACAGAGGTTTGGGGGTGGGTGGAGGCTGTGCCAGAGGTTACCTCGAGCTTCCTCCATCTGTGCACGTTCATGGGGTTCTCCAGCTCCTCCTCCAGGGCTCGGCATCTTGTCCTCTCCTTCAGGAACTCTCTCTGCGTGTGAAAAAGCTCCTGCCTGAATAAGACAAACTTTCTTTTGCAAAGAAATTCTCTACCCATTTGAGTATCATATCTTTAAGTGGTTACATATACACTACATCTCATAAAAAGCTGGAATTATCGGGAGACTTTGGGAACTGAGCCCAGCCTCCTAATCTGGGCAGGACACAGATGGCATCAATTCTTGCAGAGCTCAAAGTTCAGCTTTAGCTTAAAAAAAAAAGGTACCCCTGCTTCAGAATTATGATCCTGGATATCTAAGGAATTTAGAACAAGGAAAGAACAGGGGAGGTAAATTATGAGGATTTCAATATATTTTTTAAAGTTTCTAAATGCCTCCTATAGTAGCAGTGAAACCCCAATCCACGTTCCACCACGAGGTGTGGCACCAGAATGCACGCTATCAAGGCTCAGGCAAGAACCTGACATCAATTAGGGCAGAGCTTCACCGCCCTGACTGCATACTGCAGTCACCTGGGGAGCTTTGAAAACCTACCTTTGCCTGGACCCAGTGCCCAAAGGGATTCTGCTAATTGGTCCAGCATGTGGCTTGGGTTTCGTAGACTGTCATGTCCTGCTGGTAATTCTAACATGCAGGTCAGGATTGAAAAACATCAAATGAGGAGAGATCTTTTCTCTCAAGTTCCACAACTACACAGATGGCTGGAAAAGTCCTGAAGAGCTAGCTCAGGCTCAAACACACTCTAAAATCTGTGAGAATCTCTAGTTAATAGGTAATGCACTACAGCCAGCCACAGTACCCAGTGAGCCGGCTGCCACCCTATTCCACGAGAGGTTTTGCTGGGAGGCGGAGTAGAGGCAAGCACTGGCGTTGACATGGGCAAGAAGGATATTATTATCTGTCCTCGTCTGCTGTGGGTGTTCAGATTACTAATACTAAGCCATCTCTTTTACTTAATTGCTTCATTTAAACCAATAATACGACTTCCCCTCATTAGCAAGACAAACCATTAGAATTAACCGCATGATGTTCACTCAACAGGGAGCTCAGAACAAGCTGCTGAGAATTAAAAGCATATTTTTAACACTACAATTTTCTACAGTGTCATCAGCAAAGGAGGGCAAGAGTATTAGCCACTGTTACTGATGGCTCCTTTTGTACTAGACTCTGTGCCAGGCACATTACGTTTGTTTCCATGTTTCATTTTAACTACAAGTCTAAAGCTCAGATGAGTTAAGTGATTTGTCCAAGGTCACACAGCTTATAGGTAGCCAAGTCTGAGATTGGAGTTCAGCCTGCTTGCCTCCAATATCTTTATTAAGTTGTTTTCCCATTATAAAGAGAGATAAAAATCTATTATCGAAAAACCAGCAGTGTTGACTGAGAATGGGTAGAATTTGGTCCTTTGTGTATGTAATAAAAATAACACATGGCTGGCAAGTTTAAGTGCTGGTCCTGGAGATCATTCAATAGCTACTTAGAATGAATCCATTTGTCTCCAAAATGTCAATGGTGGTATCTCTGCATAGTAAACTTATGAGTGATTTTCTAATCCCTTCTTTATATTTTTCCTACATTCCCCACATTTTCTACAGTGAATTTGTATTACTTTCATTGTCTGAAATATGAGCAACTCTTTAAAAGAAAAGAGTATTGATCTATCCTTGAGAGTGGCAACTTCCCTTGCTATTCCTGAACGTATTCACTGCATCTAAAAATCAAAACTATCTTCTAATTCAGCTAATTTAAGAAGCAGATCCAAACTGTGTCCTTGTCCCCAGGTGGTCAAGGATACTGTGTATCTCCAACTCTGTGGGGAATAAGATAGCTACTGAGAAAACACCAGACCTCTTATTTGGTTTCCTGCAATTGCCTATATAAAACACAGTGATGTTTTCCCAAAGGGAAAGTAGATCTTGTATAATGTAAGATTTAAAGCGAGAAGAAGGCGTACTAAGCTCAAGTGAAAGCTGCAGAAGATAAATCAAGAGTAAGATATAAAATGTGGCCGCCTTCTAAGGAAACAGAGTTCTCAAATAGTAATAAAATTAAATTTTTCCCCTCTTCTCATTCTGCATATAATTCCAAGAAAAAGATGTGCAAATGTTAGCAGGATTCAATTTAAATATTGATGCTCCATCTCTTGCATCCTGCCTTATTAAAGAAATTCTACAGAGCTCATTGGGGGAAAATTTTTTCTGAATTGTAACAAGTTTGTGTTGGGGATTTGACTCGAAGCTTCTTTTTTTAAATCCAGAATAAAGGTTTTTTTTTTTTTAAATCCTTTTGCCCTTGCTTATGCTCCACTGAAAGGAAACTAGTTCATTTCCTGTGACACAGAATGGGCACAGTGTAGATTCAGAATGAAGGAAAAGTGGTTCCCATTATTTGCTAATAGTTTCAACATAAAAAAATTATTTTATACAACTTGATCAAGACCTTCCATGACCAGGGCTGGAGAGTATAGCTCAGTGGTAGAGCGCATACTTAGCATGCATGAGGCCCTGGGTTCAATCCCCAGTACCTCCTTTAAAGAATAAATAAATAAAAATAAATAAACCTAATTGCCTACCCCCAAAATTAAAAATAAATAAATTAAAATTTTAAAAATAAATAAGTAAAACTTAAAAAAAAAAGAACCTTCCATGACCAACAAGAGAAACCCAAGGTCCTTTCAGCAGCTCCCCACAGACTCCCGTGCCCTCAGCTCCAAGTGGGTCTTCTACTACCTGAGTTCGTCGACGTTAGCCACGCTCCGGGCAAGGATCCCCTTCTCCCGGCGTAGCTTCTTGATCTCAAGCTTGAGGATTCTCATGTCCTCCAGCCTCTGGTTGTACTGGCTCTCGCCTTTGTTCAGCACGGACTGCTGGATCTTGATCTTCTCATACAGCAAAGCCAACTCATCGTTGCGTCGAACTAGCTGTGACCCAAGGATGTCTCTCTCGCTGATGACCTAGAAGGGGAGGGAAGGGCGTGGCCACCAGGGGACAAAACGGCCCACTTTGCATGATGACAGCAGTGCTCATGCAGTCAATGAGGACCTGTGCTAGGCAGCCAGGAGGTGAGGCCCTGGGAACAGCCTGCTACACACCAACACCAGACCCTTCCTGGGAGAGTTCGCAGCCTTGTTGGAAAGAGGAGTACAATAAATAATCCACGATAATAATCATCCAATAACCCTTGGCCCATAGATGTTTGCTAGGTTGATTTTTTTCCAACACGTTATTTTATAAACATTTAAATGTGAAGGCCTTTACGGTGGGCTAACTCTTGACAGCCTCTGCCACTCCTTACTGTCCCACAGTAACCAAATTCTCTTTGTTTTAACCTGCCAGATCTCTGAAAGCATTTAAGTGTCTAACCCCTAAATGACATAATTATTAAATTGTAAGTATATGTAAGCAATGATATTATGCTAGGAGGCAAGCTCCCTGCAGACAGAACCTCATTTTCTTGGTCAATGTATCCTCCATGCCTAGAGGAGAGGCTGACACCCAGGAAGTGCCCGTAAATAGGAGCTGAATAAATGAATGAATATTTCATGATTAATCAGCAGAAGGTGGGGCTCCAGGGCCGTCTTTCCGATAGACTGAATGGAAGAGCTTAGAAAAGAAGGGGCCTTGGTGTGAAGAGCTGAGTCAACAGTGGCGTCTGCAGGTCTGGTGAGGAGCTGCTCCTACCTGGTCTAACTCCTTCTTCTGTCTCAGCCTCTCCCCATCGGCCTCGACAATGATTCGCAGCAGTCTTCTCTCTTCGGCTTCCTGCTGTTCAATGAAGTGTTTGGTCTCCAGGGTTTGTTGTCTCAGCTTCTGCAGCTCAGCCTGACAAAGAGTGAAAGGTACAGACCAATTTCCCTGGTGACAGTGCAAACCAGGACGCAGGGCCCAGATTCAGACGGATGGCGTGCTTCTTACATATCCCTGTGATGTTTCGTTTAACGTGGTTTGATCACCTTCACAAGCAAAATGAGCTACACACACACACACACACACACAAGCGCGCGCAGTCTGTAAAGAAACAGCAGTGCACATCACGGTGATCATGTTTATTCCATGAGTCGTGCCCTCAGGGTCTTCCATCATTTTTCTCTATCTGTGTAGCAGGGGCTTCATTGGTATTCAGCAGCACTTCTCTTACCAGCTAAACACCGGAGAATTCACAAAGAAAAGTGCAGAGAGGATGTGGAGGTGAGTGTGGCAGGGAGGTTGAGGAGGGGCATCTCTGTACATAGCAGCTCCTGTAATGGTCCTAACTAACACCACCAGCATATCAGCTGCAGAGATAAGAGCCCATTACAAGCAAAACTTAAAGATAACAACCAAGTGTCTATCTTATAAAACATCTTGATGGAATAGAAGAAATATTATGATATAGAAAGATATATAGATCCTACTCCTAAGACGACTCCAATCCAGATGAGAAGATAAGATATACAAGTATTATGCAAATATTAACAAGTCCAGGCACTAACGTTTCAGGATCTTTATTATCACCCAGACAGTGAAGTGATGTTACAGGACGTCAGAAGACTGCGGCTATCGGGAAGGCTTCCTGGGACAGCTCAGATCTTGAAGCTCTTGAGGTGACGTGGGAATCGTAAGAGTGATGGGGGAAGGGGGCTGTGAACTGGTCAGTCTCAGAAGGAAAGCTCCTCTCATCAAAGGACACATTTGCTGCAACTCCACAAGCATATGTGTGGCTGCGATGCCCCTGGGATGATACTAAGTATTTTGCACAGCTACCCTTATCCCCAGCCTACAGACCCAATTCCAGAGACAAAGAAAAGTACCTCAACCTGCCCAAGGTCACACAGCTAGTAAGAAGAAGAGCTGAGATTCCAACCTAGATCTTTTGATTCCGAAGCTCATGCCCCCTCTGCTACCTCCACACAATGGTTCCAAGTCAAACACAGATGAGTAAGACGTGAGGGATTCACCACCCAATGGAAATGGCAAATATAACCAAGCACACCACAGTGTGGAAGCGCCAGCTAGTGTGTGAAGGAGGACATGGGAGTACACAGGAAAGAGTTCCTACTTCCTCCTGGGGTTTAGAGGGAAGAGGCAGTCAGGGCTTTGGCTGCTGACAGTTATTTCCAAAATGCAGAGGTATGTGCTGGGGGGAGAGCAGTCAACAGTCAGGCTTGTGTGAACGAAGGCGTGTGAACCTGGTGTGTTCACCAGATAGCAAAGCAACCGGTGGGGCTGGGATAGAGTGTTGGAGAGGGAACAGCAGGAGGTAAGGCTGGTAAAACAGCTGAGCCAACCTGCCAAGGATCTTGTACGCCACGTAGAATGTATACGATGGGGAGCCCCAGAGTTAATCATATTAAAGAAAAGAGAACTACAGCTTTGAGAGGTTCTATGCCCAGATAGGAAGGACAGGTGCCATCACAGAGCAGTCAGCACCAGAAGGAAAGACGGGAGGAAGAACTAGCCTTTCACCCATGCCTGAAATCGCAAGGGCGGTGGCGAGACAACACTAAGTCTCCAACTTTTCAATGGTTTGCAGGGCTGCAAATGACAACGAAAAAGTAATCATTTTTTTCCTTCTAGGAAGTATTGGGACCCCCACCATCCACCCCACCTCCAGAAATGTCACTGGCAAAAACTGAATACTTGCAAGTGAGTGCCTGTGAACGAGCCCAACTCCAGCTGTAGCCCACCTCTCATCCATGAAGACCAAGACTCATTAACTCCATGGCTCAAACCTATCCAAACAGTATAAGACACGGCAAACCCAGCAAGAGACATGTAACATCACAAACTAAGTGCGGCTAGCTACTGTAAAACCGGGGTTCCTTTCATGACAGTTCGTTTGTTCATTTATGAAATACGCTTTGGTCAAAGGATAAGCCAAAGGAAATAGCTAGTGAGCAAAGACCTGGTCTGGTCTTTACCACTTCGGGGGATTGCCTGTTAGGAAAGAGTGAAGAACGAACCAGCCTTTCTCTTTCTATCATCCTTTAAGGTGACGGCGAAGACAGCAATAAAATCCCCGTTTGGCTCATACTTTCTTTAATAAAACTTTTATTTTCCCAGATGTGCGACATTCACTTCCCTGTTCCTAAGTGCCGAGAGCTGATCTGAATCCATCAGCAGAACAAAATGAAACCGCTGTTATATTAAAATGCAATCAATGGTGTGTAAAAGTATCTGTCTGAAATGTAAAACCATTCATGTGTTTGGCATTGCTGGGCGGTTTTTTTTCCATAATATATCAAAGTTCTGAGTGGTGTCTTTATGTCATAAATTTATGGGCTGTAAACAAGATGTGGCATTAGATGTTGGCAGCAAATGTTAACATCAACAAAATACCTTGGGTCTCGTGCATTTAGCAGCTATAAATCTGAGCTGTCTCACCCAGGAAAGATGGTAACAACTACTGTGCACCCAAAAGCTCATCAAGCAATGTTCTAGGTGGGACCTGAGGTATCTGCATTTATCAAAGTGTTACTGGTGGTACAAAGTTGTAACACAATGTCAGGACACTCTTTAGTTGCAGCCTCCACAATTATATAGTTTTGTGACAGGTGTTTATGGAACATATATCCTCTAATCTGGCATATATCCATAAATCCTATCCTAAGAACCATACTTAAGGGAGTTTCACCCATTCATACATGATTCCAATATTAACTGGGTTTCACAGAATCTATCTGTTTGTATCTAGCAAAACAAATAGGACCTCCTGAAGTCTTCTAGCCATGAGAATAATTAGGCTTCCCCCCATCTCTCTCCCCCCCCCCACCCCCACCAATAGTTCCCAACCATGTCATTCTAGACAGTCTGCTAAGTAAAGGGATATGGTGCCCTGAAGCCAGTTGCTAATGTGATGCTGAGCTCTGGACATAGAGAATTTGATGCTGAATTATTCATCAAGGATCAGAGTGCTGTCAGATTGATGTGGGATGATTGGGAGGTGACGAGACAGAATTGAGGGCTTGTTAGGACTGGAAGGCAGACACTCCAAATGAGATGGCCCCTTCAGTGCTGATGAAACAAGACTGGGACAGAATGGGCAGATGAACACAGATGCAGCAATGTCTACAAAGAACCACTGACATTCTGTCATAACCATAATGTGCTGACGATGTCTAAGATCCTGAGGAGTCGGTAGAGCCTGGTAGCAACCAAAAAAGGAAAAGAAACATGGAAGGAGCAATATTTTTCTTTTAAGGGGGATGAATGAGGATGAGGATGACCTATTAAGGACAACTGCTTGTCTGTCAGGCTTGGAGAAGTAGTAAATTGAGTTGTCCCATCAAAAAGCATCTTTCAGTCTACCAAACAGGTCAAGAATTGCCGTCCCAGGGAAGATTATGTGCCCATATAGCTTCGGAGAACTCATAGTAACAAGCTACATGCCTCTGGTGGGGCAGAGTCACTAGCAAATTTGCCCTTCCCTTCAGGGTTTGGTTTGCAAACTTTAGATGCATGAAATCCAGGGACCTCTGTAAACGTGATTCATATTTGAGGCTAAAAAAGTCAAGAGGCTGAAACTGAACATTTGAGCTGTCATATTTTTCTAAAGAATGTCAAACGGGCTTAATGATAGGCCAAAATTATCCAGTTGAAGCACCACTGCAAGTCACCCTTGGATAACCTCAAATAATAAATCAAGGAATCATCCTTTGTCTGTTCTTAATTCTTGCTTTAATGGGAAAAGCTGGGGAAAAGGCAGCCTAGTTTCACAGTAAGTCTAAAGCAATCATCTTCCTATAATCGATGACCCAAAGCTATCCAGACCTAGGATTCCCCATTTAGAGCAGGTTCTCTAGAGCAGAAGCCCTTTAATCATCTTTCATGTGCACCAGCTGCCAACTCTGCTGGCCCAGGACCGAAAAACAGGAGCCTACAGTCTTTTATCTCATTGTATTATGATGCTTCTTTCAAGCTATGTGTGTAGGTGTCTAATGATGGAGGGTGTGAGTGAAATAAATATTCACCAAAGTCAAGCTCTAAGGAATTAATAATAATTGCCTTTTTGCATAGGACATTGCTCATTCTAAAGCAGGATTTTGTCTACTTTGGACTTCAGCAATTATAAAGCAATAATTAATCTTTTGAAAAGAGCACTGCTTGGGAAAGTAAGAGATGAGCATCAGTGTCATCCTCTGAAAGGAAAGAGAGGATGTACCAAATCGAGTTACACTGAAGCCTTGCTAACACGGGTCCATGAAGCCCATGGATGAAGCAATGTTTATAAAAAGATTCTTCTGATTCATCCCATGATAAATAAACCCCATTCCACTACAGACTCCAAGGTGGAACAAACTACCTTCTATAAAATTATGCTTTCAAACAAGGAGAATAAGGACAAAGATGTAGGATATTTTCAAATTTTAGAAAATATATTTATGTTTTTAATATATAAACAACTCTTAAAACAGAATTTTCTTATTTTTCTATCATGAGCTAGAATGGGGAGACGAAAATCTTAGGCAGGTAAGTATATCAATTTACCATATCTTTTTTATAAAGGCATTTTGTTACATTTCAATCTTTCTCAAACCTAATGTGCCTTAATTTAATTTAATGTAGTAGTTCTATTTCCATGAAGACCTATCATTAAGTTGACAAAACCTATTAAACTGAGAGTGCATATTTCAATCAGAATCTTGGAACCAAGGAAATTTGACATTAAACCTATCCAACACTCGAACATTTTCAAGATAGGAACTATCTTTGAAAGCTAACATGTGCTGAAAACAAGACACCCAGTCTCTCATTTGTTAAAGATAGTTCCCGCAAGTGGCTCATAAACATACACGTTTTAAAAAATAAGTGACATCATTCTCTTAGGAGATCCTTTGTTATTTCTTTGGTCAAATGGATTAGAAGGGAAATCTACTGGACTGCATAGGAAAAGGAAAACACATTAGGTTTAGTGAATGTGTATAGTAAAACATATATTTGGCTCAACGATTTGATATGGTGTAATTATTTGGTATGTATTTTGGGGAAGAGTATATTAGTAGACACAGAATGTTCTAAATTAGCAGATTTAAAAGGATGTATCTTAGTAATAGATGTGAAGACAATATATCTGATTCCCTGAAGTCAAAGTTCTTAGACTCACAGAGGTAAGGTGAACCATGAACCTGGTTGAGGGCAAATCAAGTGAGGACAAAGCTTGACACCTGGTAGTTAGTGATGTGGCAGGCAGAAAAGGCACTGCACATGAAATAAACAGTGATCAGGACAGAAGGACCAAGGATCCCGCCAGCATTGTCTTATAGAAGCCCCAGGGAAGAGCTTGGGAGGGTTGGGTGTGGGCACAAGGGTTGAACTTGGGTTGTAAATGCAGAGATTGCAGTGAGCCTGAGAGCTCCAGGACTCCTTGTGTGCCGCTGACCTGCTCGGTTCTCTTGCGCTGATGTGATGATAGACAGCACAGGTAAATGAGGTGCTATGTATGCAACTCCACCTGCCCCTCCCCGTTCTACCCGGGAGCCCTGCCTGGAAGGAAGCCTGACCTGGAGGTGGTGGAGTTCATCCTCCTGGTGCCTTGGTTGTTCTCCCAGCCCCCTTGCTGCCTTTCGTAAACGTGGGGCCTGCCCTTAGCGGGTCAGACAGATTGACTGTGGGTCCACGGCTTGTATTACGAGATCTGTACCTTCAACGTTTCCTTCTCCTTTTCAATCCGCTGCTGTTCCAGATGTAGCTTCACAAGGGCTGACTCCTTCGCCGAGATTTCTTCTTTCAACTGATCTACCTGATGGGTCATAATCTTTAACTTTCTCTTCATTTCTGTTATTTCATCCTAACAAAATGAAAGGAGAAATGTTTGAAAGTGCATTAGAGAGATATCACCGTCCCTGTGGAAATTCAATACATACTTAATCAAGAGCTTTTAAGGGTGACTCACTCCAAACATTGGTCTCTTGACCAATTACGACTGGGCTATCCTTTGTACCTTGTGCCCATCAACCTTAAAGTGCTTTCTAGAATTAACTCTCAAAATATCCTCATGAGATAGCTATAAAGTATACATAATGAATATGCCACACACACACACACACACACACACACACACTCACACACACACACACACACACTTTATTCCTCATAGAGGAAGGAATTAGAACCACAATAAACATTTTAACTAAAAGATTACAAAGCAAAGCTCTGCAATTAAAGGACAAGAGTACACTGCTCCCGTCTGAGTCACGGTAGCTATCAGCAGTTTTAAAAATTAGAAACAGGACATTGGCGATTCTACACAACAATGAGAAGCAGGACCATGATTTTCACATCCGATCAAGTTGTGTCATTTCCATTTCAAACAATCTGATAGTTTTTTTTTTTTCAATTTGTTTTAGGTGGGAGGTAATTAGGTTTATTTATTTAATGGAGGTTCTGGAGATTGAACCTAGGACCTTGTGCATGCTAGGCATGTGCTCTACCACTGAGCTATCCCCTCCCCAACAATATGATAGTTCTGCAGAAACTGATCTTCTCTTTCAGGTGAATTCCAGGAAATCTCTTTCTTGATCTAGTCTAAGTTCTGCCATTAGGATAACAGAAACTGCTTTAAACCCAGGATGGGGAGGGATCAAAATGTAAAGACGTAACTATACTCTTTACCTGAGCCTCAACCAGATTTTTGCTATACAGATTCCTGTCTGATCTCACAGCTTCATACAGGTTCTGTTGTTGTTTTAATTTAGTCTCTGATTCAGCGATTTTTTTCCTGTAGTCAAAAATCTGCATCTCACGGACTTTTATGTCTTCCATGTTCATGAGGACCTGGAGGAGAAAGAAGTATATAAAGATGGTTAAATATCCTATCTGTGGTTATTGGTTCAGGGAAAACAGAGATTTTTTTTGTTTTAATCTAATGGTAGCTAGTAGAAACGGCAGCAATCAGAAAATCTGGCTATAATCACTGCAGTACAACACAGAAACTCAGCCCAGCTGATTAGGAGTAAACATTTTATCTATGCTGGAGTTGTGCTCAAGCACAAAGGCTTAGCACAGTTATTCTGTGATCACAGGAGGGTAAAGAAATAAAGAAATTCTTTCAATTCTGAAAACCTCTCCTGACCACCCCACCCACCGAAAAAAGAAAGAAAGAAAAAAAAAAGGCACAGGCTTAAACAGATCTTAACACAAAGCACTAAGAAGGATAAGAGATAACTTAGCTGTTTGGCCACACTCATGGCTTTATAAAGTCAACCACGAGAAAGAAAAGTGGCCTTTGAACACTGATAGCAATCATAGTGCTGTCTTGCCAATGTCAAACTCACTCCATCAGGGAAACCCAAAGGGCTTCATAAAAATGTGTTCCATTGTGCACAAAACACTTCTGGGCAAGATAGATCCAAGAATTACTGCCTCCTTTTTGCAAGTATGAAAAACCGAAGCCTGAAATTCCACCATCAGCCAATACCTCTTGACAAGCAATCCATACAGTAGAAATTACATACTCATGACTCTCGGCTGCAATGCCCACAGAAACTGATTTTCTAAGAACAAACTTCTTCAAAAATTCCTTAACAAAAAAAAATTTAGCAAGGAAGGCCGATTAAATCAGTGGCACTATGGTATAAAACAACAGCTAGACCACCACAAGGAGAAAATTCTCAAGACTATCTCACTGTATGTCAGTGGACTTCTCTTAATTAATGATGACAGTTGAAGGAAACAAACAGAGCAGTATGACTGAGAAGGAAGGAAGGGGATGTACTTAAAGTAACACAGCCAGGGAGGTTTCCTCTAAAGAAGAGGCATTTTACCTTAGAACCTCAAGGTCAAGAAGGACTTAGCCCTTTGCCATCCTGATAATCATTGTGATTCAGGTGTGGGCTACCTGTGAGCATCATGTCCCCACATTACTGCACTAGCGAATCCTTTTATTCCATTTGTGGGATTAGTATTCCAGAAAATATACTCCAAGAAACCCTCTTCTAACGTTTTCCCATCAGAGTTAATGATGACTAGTATTTAATATATTTTCCTTTATATCTTTATTTTTTTTATTTTAGGCAAATCTTTTTTTTATTGAGTTATAGTTATTTTACAATGTTGTGTCAAATCCCAGTATAGAGCACAATTTTTCAGTTATACACGAACATACATACATTCATTGTCACATTCTCTTCGCTGTGAGCCACCACAAGATCCTGTATATATTTCCCTGTGCTACACAGTACAATCTTGTTTATCTATTCTACATTTTGAAATCCCAGTCTGTCCCTTCCCATCCCCCATCCCCCTGGCAACCATAAGTTTGTATTGTATGACTATGAGTCTGTTTCTGCTTAGTATTTATTTATTTTTTTTTTTAGATTCCACATATGACCAATCTCATATGGTATTTTTCTTTATCTTTCTGGCTTACTTCACTTAGAATGACATTCTCCAGGAACATCCATGTTGCTGCAAATGGCGTTATGTTGTCGGTTTTTATGGCTGAGTAGTATTTCATTGTATAAATATACCACTTCTTCTTTATCCAGTCATCTGTTGATGGACATTTAGGCTGTTTCCATGTCTTGGCTATTGTAAATAGTGCTGCTATGAACATTGGGGTGCAGGTGTCATTTTGAAGTAGGGTTCCTTCTGGATATATACCCAGGAGTGGGATTCCTGGGTCATACAGTAAGTCTAATCCTAGTCTTTTGAGGAATCTCCATACTGTTTTCCACAGTGGCTGTACCAAACTGCATTCCTACCAGCAGTGCAGCAGGGTTCCCTTTTCTCCACAGCCTTTCCAGCATCTGTCATTTGTGGGCTTTTGAATGATGGCCATTCTGACTGGTGTGAGGTGATATCTCATTGTAGCTTTGATTTGCATTTCTCTGATAATTATTGATATTGAGCATTTTTTCATGTGCCTATTGATCATTTGTATTTCTTCCTTGGAGAGTTGCTTCTGCCCATTTTTGGATTGGGTTGTTTGTTTTTTTCTTATTAAGTTGTATGAGCTGTTTATATATTCTGGAGATCTAATCTTTGTCAGATTCATTTGCAAAAATTTTCTCCCATTCCGTAGGTTGTTGTTTTGTTTTACATATGGTTTCCTTTGCTGTGCAGACGCTTGTAAGTTTAATTAGGCCCCATTTGTTTATTCTTGCTTTTATTTCTATTGCTTGGGTAGACTGCCCTAGGAGAGCATTTTTGAGATGTATGTCAGATAATGTGTTGCCTATATTTTCTTCTAGGAGGTTTATTGTATCTTGTCTTATGTTTAGTTCTTTGATTCATTTTGAGTTTATTTTTGTGTATGGTGTAAGGGAGTGTTCTAGCTTCATTGCTTTACATGCTGCTGTCCAGTTTTCCCAACACCATTTGCTGAAGAGACTGTCTTTATTCCATTGTATATTCTTGCCTCCTTTGTCGAAGATTAGTTGAACAATAGTTTGTGGGTTCATTTCTGGGCTCTCTCTGTTCCATTGGTCCATATGTCTGTTTTTCTACCAATACCAAGCTGTCTTGCTTACTGTAGCTCTGTAGTATTGTCTGAAATCTGGGAGAGTTATTCTTCCAGCCTCTTTCTTTTTCTTCAGTAATGCTTTGGCAATTCTAGGTGTTTTGTGGTTCCATATAAATTTTAATATGATTTGTTCTAGTTCTGTGAAATATGTCCTGGGTACTTTGATAGGGATTGCATTAAATCTGTAGATTGCCTTGGGCAGTGTGACCATTTTAACAATATTGACTTTTCCAATCCAGGAGCATGAAATATCTATTTTTTTAAGTCTTCTTTAATTTCCTTAATCAGTATTTTATAGTTTTCTGTGTATAACTCTTTCACCTCCTTGATTAGATTTATTCCTAGGTATTTTATTACTTTGGGTACTATTTTAAAGGGGATTGTTTCTTTACTTTCTTTTTCTATTGATTCATCATTAGTGTAAAGAAATGCAACTGATTTTTGAATGTTAATCTTGCAACCTGCTACCTTGCTGAATTCTTCGATTATTTCTAGTAGTTTTTGTGTGGACCTTTTAGGGTTTTCTATATATAGTATCAAGTCATCTGCATATAGTGACACTTTTACCTCTTCTTTTCCAATTTGGATCCCTTTTATTTCTCTTACCTGATTGCTGTAGCTAGGACTTCCAAGACTATGTTGAATAGGAGTGGTGATAGCAGGCAGCCTTGTCTTGTCCCAGATTTTAGTGCGAAGCTTTTGAGTTTTTCACTGTTGAGTACTATGCTGGCTGTAGCTTTGTCATATATAGCTTTTATTATGTTGATATATGTTCCCTCTATACCCACTTTAGTGAGAGTTTTTAATCATAAATGTGTGTTGAATTTTATCAAATGCTTTTTCTGCATCTATTGAGATGATCATGTGGTTTTTGTCCTCTTGTTGATGTGATGTATTACATTGATTGATTTGCGTATGTTGAACCATCCTTGTGTCCCTGGGATGAACAACATTTGATCAGGATGTATAGTCTTTTTTATGTGCTGTTGGATTCTATTTGCTCGTATTTTGGTAAGGATTTTTGCATCTATGTTCATCAGTGATATTGGTCTGTAATTCTCTTTTTTGGTGGTGTCTTTGCCTGGTTTTGGTATCTGGGTGATGGTGGCTTCATAGAGTGAGTTTGAGAGTATTCCCTCTTTTTCAATCTTCCGGAAGAGTTTGAGAAGGACTGGTATGATTTCTTCTTTGTATGTTTGGTAGAATTCCCTGGTGAAGCCATCCAGTCCTGGACTTTTATTTGTAGGGAAGTTTTTTATTGCTAATTCGATTTCATTTCTAGTGATCGGCTTGTTCAAATGGTCAGTTTCTTCTTCATTCAGTCTTGGTGGACTGTATGTTTCCAGAAACTTGTCCATCTCCTCTAGGTTATCCAGTGTGGTTCCATATAGTTTTTCATAACATCCTCATATGATATTCTGTATTTCTATGTTATTTGTTGTAATTTCTCCATTTTCCTTTCTTATTTTGCTTATTTGTGCTCTCTCTTTTTCCTTCTTTGTGAGTTTGGCCAGAGGTTTGTCGATTTTATTTACTCTTTCAAAAAAACCAGCTTTTGGTTTGATTGATTTTTTTCTATTTTTTAATGTCTATTTAATTTATTTCCTCCCTAATCTTTATTATTTCCTTCCTTCTGCTGACTTTTGGGTGTTTGTGCTCTTCTTTTTCTAGTTCTTTTAGCTGGTGGGTTAGATTGTTTATTTGAGATTGTTCTTCTTTTTTGAGGAAGGCCTGTAATGCTATAAACTTCCCTCTTAGCACTGCCTTTGCTGCGTCCCATAAATTTTGTGTGGTTGTGTTTTCATTTTCATTTGTCTCAGGGTATTTTTTAATTTCAACTTTGATTGCATCAAGTGACTCATTGGTTTTTTTAATACCATGTTATTTAATCTCCATGCTATCGTTTTTTTCTCCTTTGTTTCTCTGTAGTTTATTTCTAGTTTTGTGGCATTGTGGTCAGTAAAGATACTTGAGATAATTTCTATCATCTTAAAATTGTTGAGGCTTCTTTTGTGCCCAAGTACGTGATTAATCCTAGAAAATGTTCCATGTGCACTAGAAAAGAATGTATATCCTATTTTTGGGGGGTGTAATGCTCTGAAAATATCCATCAAATCTAATTTTTCTATTGTATTATTTAATTTCTCTGTTGCCTTATTTATTTTCTGTCTGGAAGATCTGTCTGGTGACATTAATGCAGTGTTAAAATCTCCGACAATGATTGTATTCCCATCAATTTCCCCTTTTATCTCTGTTAGTAGTTGTTTTATGTACTTAGATGCTCC